AGATGATGTGGTACTCCCATCTCTTTGACAACTTGCCACATTTTGTTGTCATCCACTTAGTCAAAGGCTTCAGTGTAGTCAGTGAAGCAGTGTAGGTGTTTTTCTGGAACTCCTTTGCTTTCTCCACAATCCAGTAGTTCCTCTGCCTCTTTGAAAACCAGCCTGCTCTTCTGGTAATTCTTGGTTCATATATTGCTGAAGCCTAGGTTGCAGAATCTTAAGCATAACCTTGCTAGAGTGTGAAATGAGCATAGTTGTTCAGTAATTTGAACATTCGTTGGCATTGCCCTTCTTTAGGACTGAAATGTAAACTGATCTTTTCCAATCCAGTGGCCCCTATTGGATTTTCTAAATTTGCTGGCATATTGGGTACAACAGTCTAACAGCATCATCTTTTAGGGTTTTAAATAGCTCTGCTGGAATTCCATCCTCTCTACTGGCTTTATTGTTAGCAGTGCTTCCTGAGGCCCACTTGACTTCATTCTCCAGGAAGTCTGTCTCTAGATCAGTAAGCACACCATCCTGTTATTGGTGATGTTAAGCTCTTTCTTAGGTAGTTCTTTTGTGTATTCTTGCCACCTCTTCTTAATCTCTTCTGCTTCTGTTAAATCCCTGCCATTTTTGTCTTTTACCATGCTCATTTTTGCATGAAACTTTTCCTTGATATCTCTGATTTTCTCCTGGAGAAGAGGTCTCTTGTCTTTCTCATTCTGTTGTTTTCTTCTATTGCTTACTTAAGAGAACTTTTTTATCTCTCCTGGCTATTCTCTAGAATTCTTCATTCAGTTGGGTATATCTTTCTCTTTCTCCTTTACCTTTCTGTATTTCCTCAGCTGTTTGTAAAGCCTCATCAGGCAGCCACTTTGCTTTTTTGCTCTTTTTTTCCTTTGGAATGTTTTTTGGGGTTTTTTTGCATCCTGTGCAAAAAATTGTGAACCTCTGTGCATAGTTCTCCAGGCTCTTTCTTCCAGACCTCAGCCCTTAAATCTATTCATCACCTCTACTTCATATTCTTAAGAGATATTATTTAGATCATACCTAGATGATTTGATGATTTTTCCCTACTTTCTTCAATTTAAGTCTGAATTTTGCAATAAGAAGCTCTTGATCTAATCTCATCAGCTCCAGGTCTTGTTTTAACTGACTATATAGAGCTCCTCCACTTTTGGCTGCAAAGTATGTAATTGATCTGATTTCTGTACTAACCATCTGGTGATGTCCATGTGTGGTTGCCTTTTGGGCAGTTGAAAAAGTGTTTGTTTTGACCTATGAGTTATTTTGACACATTTCCATTAGTCTCTGCCCTGCTTCATTTTGTACTCAAAGGCCAAACTTGCCTGTTGTTCCATTTATCTTTTGATTTCCTACCTTAGCATTGCAATCCCCTATGATCAATGTGACATCTTTTTTTTTCTTTTTTTTTTTTTTTAAATCATTGTGGCAGTCTTCATGGAACTCATCAACTTTGGCGTCTTAGGGAATCAGTGTTTAGAGCATAGACTTGTGTTACTCAGATGTTAATGGTTTGCCTTGGATTCAAAGAGATATCAATCATTTTTTGAGCTTATACCCCAGTGCTGTTTTTCTCATCTTTTTATTAACTATGAGGGCTATTCCATTTCTTCTAAAGGGATTCTTGTGTATAGTAGTATATATAGTAATCATCTGAATTTAACTCACTCATTCCCATCCATTTAAGTTCACTGACAACCTATTTATCAATATTTAATCTTTCCATCTCCTTTTGGACCCTATCCAGCTTACCTTTGTTCATGGATCTTAAATTCCAGGTTCCTGTGCAATATTGATCTTCAAGTTTTTTTTTTGTTTGGTTTTTTTGTTTGGTGGTGTTTTTTGTTTTTTGGGTTTTTTTTTTGGTAAGGCAGTTGGGGTTAAGTGACTTGCCCAAGGTCATACAGCTAGCACGTGTCAAGTGTTTGGTCTGAGGCCGGATTTGAACTCAGGTCCTCCTGACTTCAGGGCCGGTGCTCTATCCACTGTGCCACCTAGCTGCCCCCAATATTGATCTTTACAGCATCAGACTTTCCTTTCATCCCTAGTTACATCCACATCTGAGCTTGCTTTTGGCTTTGGCCTAGCCACTTCGTTAGTACTAGAACTACTTGTAGTTGTCCTCTGCCCTTCCCCAATAGTGTATTGGACACCTTCCAACCTGAGGAACTCATCTTCTGATATTCTCTCTTATATCATTTTAGTACTGTCTGTAGGGTTTTCTTGACAAGTACTAGAGTGGTTTGCCATGTCCTCCTTCAGTGGATCACCTTTTGTCCTTCTATATCTTGGTAATATCATCTGATTGCATGGGTTTAACTCTCATCCCTGCAGAGATGACACACATCTGTGTCCAGCCCTGTGCTCTCCCTTGAGCTTCAGACTTGCATCACCTGTTACCTATTTGCCATTTAAAACTGAATGTCTTAGAGACATCTCTTACTCAACATCTCTAAAACTGAATTCATCTTTCCCCCTAAACCTTCCTTTCTTTCATATTTTCTGTTTCTGTCAAATACACTACGATCCTTCCAGTCTCTGAGGTTTATAATCTTGATGTTGTTCTGTATTCCTCACTCTCCTTCACCTCACATCTAATCAGTTGCCATATCTTGCTGTTCCTACCTTAACACCATTTCTTGCCTCCAGTTCCTTCCTGTACTCGTACAACTATTACCTTAGTTCAGGCCTTCATCACCTTTCACCTAGATTATTGCAACAGTCTCCTAATTGGTATTCCTGTTTCGGGTTTCTTTCTACTCCAGTGTATGTGCACACTGCTGCTAAAGTGATTTTCCTTAAGCCTAGATCTGACCATGTCCAGAGGCTTCGCCTATTGCCTCTAGGATCAAGTATGAATTCTTCTATTTAGCTTTTAAAGTTATGTGTGACCTGGGCCCCAATCTATCTTTCCTGCCTCCTTAGAAATTATTTTCATTTTTGCACTCTGCAGTCTAGACAAATTGGAATCCTCTGTTTCACACCCATGGCACTCTATGTCCCACCTCTTTGCCTTCTTAAGTGGCCATTCCAAATACCTGGAATGCATTTCCTCCTTACTTCAGATTCTCTTTAAGATGAGACTCAGACATCATCTTCTGCATGATGCTTTTCTTAATCTTCCCCTCTCCTCAACTACTAGTGCCCTGCCTCCCACAGTACTTAAACATACAGACATCCATATGTACATATGTGTGTGTGTGGGTATATGTATATATGTGTTTATATATATATATATATACACACACACATATATATACACACACATATATCTGTTCATTAACTTCATGTTTATTTTATATATATATATATATATGTATATTTTAGTGGTGTCTTCCCATTAGAATGTAAGCTCCATGAACATAGGGATTATTTTTTTTTTATATTTATATCCTCATTACCCATTATAGGTACTTTAAAAATACTTGTGGGTTGATTGGGTTATTTAACTTTGAAATGATTGACCTATGATAATTTGCCCAAGAAAATTTAATGAGGGAGGCAACGTGGTACGATTGAAAGAACTCTGTCCAGAAGGACTCAACAGACCTGGATCTTTGTCCCAGCTCTCTTCTTCATATAAGCTAAAGGAACCTTGAACAAATTGATGTACTAACACTCCTGTTATCTCATCTGTCAAATGAGGAGGTGGGAGTATTGATTTTTAAAGTCCTTTGGACTTATGTAAGGGACAGATTGTCATAGTTCAAAAAACATACTGGACTTAGAACCTAGAAGATCTGGGTTCAAGTTGTTTCTTTGACCACTAGTTGTGTAACTTCTCTTTCCCCATCTCCAAAATGGGGATGATCATTCCTTTAGTAATAATACTAAAATCCTTTTCCATTCTAATATTTTATGATATGCTAGTTTTTGCATACAGAGTAGGTTTCCTGTCAGTTTTATCTTGTTTTATGAAGTATACAACATTAGATCACACTGGACATGCATATGTAAAAACTTTGTGTAGCTGCATATATGTGTGTACTGTGAACACTCACTATTTGAACATAACTTATTTTTATATAATATGGATTTTTTTTACTTTTCACTTCAAGAATATATCATTATTGAACATGATGGTCCTTTCTGTAGAAGATAATTATGTTTATAACCAAGATTTAGAATATCTAATAAATTAGGAGGTGAAACTAAAAGAAATAAGCCCATTTTTAATCATTTCTTTTTTGGGTCATTCTAGAAATTCCTTTATTTTTCTCAGTATTTTTATTTCAGTGGTAATCTGTACCTCTGTAATCTGTACAGTTCAGTATCAGAGGCAAGGAGAAGTAATAATCCTTTCTTTCATTTTTTTGTGTCCTTTTCAGTGTTTAGTATAATATCTATAATGAGGCAGCTAGTTGGTGCTGTGGATAGAACGCTGGGCCTTGAGCCAGGAAAACTTGTTAAAATACAGCCTCAGACACTTAACAGCCCTGTGACCCTGAGCAAATCACTTTAACCTTTGTTTGCCTCATCTTCTTCATCGTAAAATGGGGATAAAAACAGCACCTACCTCCCAGGAGGTTGTGAGGATCAAGTGACATAATGTTTGTAAAAAGCACTTAGCTCAGTGCCTAACACATACTAGGAGTAATATGTAAATACATACTATGTAAATGCTTGTTCCCTTTCTCTTCCCTTCCCATGTCTTATCCATGGTATACACTTACTATTTTTTGAGTTAAACAGTTATCCCATTTTGAATTTTTTCCAGTTCCAATAAAAATTCGATTTAATCTAACTATTAAAATGAAATCCTTATGTGGAAATAGAATTTAGTTTATCTTTATCTCATGTTCTTCTTATCTTCAGTTAGCACAATTGAGTATCAGTTACACGTATCCTTACAAGCCTTGCCAAGGATTATTTAAAATGAAAAATGTAGATATCAGTGAGTAGTATCTTGGAAGCTTGAAGTTGATATTTTAAAGGAATATTGGCTTATATACATATGTTAATAAATTTCTTTCTATGCACTTTTTCAGGATAAGGAATTGTTCTCAGGATTTCAAGAAGACAGTTGGTCAGCAGATTGTTGGTTTAGAAAATCCGTCCATTCTACACAGTCCTATTCTGTACCCATCGGCAGTTGTGACAGTATGAAAAATGCTATTTTCTTAGAATGGATACAGGCAGATGTTTTTGTTCTGACTCTTTTGGCTTATTTCATCTCTTATTTTTAGCTGTCTGGTACCTTAGTGGTTTTCATTTTTTAAAAATTGCTGATTTTCTGTTTCCTTAATTACGTTTCTCTCTATTCAAGTTTTCTTCCCCCACCTCTAACCTGCCTTATTCTTACCTTACCATTTGCTTTTTTAAGGTTTTTTTTATTTGACCCTCTCCTAACTTCTTTTTCTTCATTTCTCTTTCATTGTCTTCTCTATTGCCTATATAAGCCATGTTTTCCAGAATATAGAGGTTAAAGTACAAACTTCTAAAGCCCTAAGTAGATTCTTTTTATTCTATATTTTTGGTTTTTAAAAATCTCTGCCTGTATTTTTGGGAGGGTGGGAAATCTGATCTTTAATCTGAATAATCTTAACTCTAATGTAAAGTGTCTTGTTTTTGTTTTTTAGAAAAAAAACATTAGCTATATAATATTGGACAAGAAACTTAACTTTTCTAGGCCTCAGTTTTCTGTGAGGTATTTGGCCTACATGGTCCTCAAAGTTCCTTCCAACTTTAATCCTGTAATGCTGTAAATTCTGTTTTAGTTTAGTGCCACCATTAACCAACCCCAAAACCCAAATGTGATGTCATTATATGTTAGTGCCAGGCAAACTTACTTAGTTTCTCCATTTCCATCCTTTATTATCATATTTTGATATCTGAAATTTGTTTTTTTTTACCCTCTTAAAACAGCAGTTCATAGGTGAATATGATGTTGTAATATCATTTAATTGTGCTGCTTTTTACTATTAGGAAGTTATTTTCTTTCCCCTTAGGAAACTAAAACAACCCAAGAAATCGATGAAGCTTTGAAGATAGCTGGTTATAATTTTGAGCAATTAAATGCCGCAGAAAAGGTAAGCTAAATAGATGTTGGTTATTGTCCCTGTCATAGAAAGTGTTCTTGTTTTTATGGGTTAAAAAAGGCATGCGTATATATGTGTGCACACTAGGTCTTAGCTGAGATTTTGCATAGTTCAATAGTATCTCAGTGCATACAAATACTTTATAGGAAATACTCCCTTCAATAATCTGCTAGACTGATTAGTAGAATATTATTGATACCCAGAAAGAAATGAACATGCTTTTTGAGGCTTCCATTTGTGGACTTCATAATAATAATTCAGTATTTTATAAAAATGTTCAAAACTCATAAAAAATGCTTTATTCCTTGATTTTGAACATGTGATGAATTTGAGGTATTATTGTAGGAGAGCAGTTGCAATTGGAATTTTTACCACAAATCATTGAACATACCTATTGATTATGCCTAGCATATTGTGATTAGGTACATCATTGCATAGAAGGAATGAATACTGTCGATGGTAATATCTGTCAACAAAATCCATCTTTTTTCCTGTGAATGCCAGGCAGAAGAAGCAAGAGAAAATAGAAAAGAAGAAATGGAAGGAATAAATCATGTTCAACTGCAGTGGTAGTCATACGTGCTTATAGGGACAATGAATAGCTGAGAAAAGAGCCAGCCAATAAATAAATGAAAAAAAAAGAAGAATTCTTACCTTTGGGAACAGAAAGCCCTCTGATTTCTAACATAGCATCTTCTAAACTAATTTGGACATAGAAATTTTTTTCCCTTGGAATTTGCTGTCAATGCCCATGAATAAAGAAAATTGTGGTGTAAAATGAAGAAAATTTTAAGCCTATTATACTGAAAATTACTCTCTATCTAGCTGGTTTTTTTATACATAATTTCATATTTTAAAGGAGAAAATACTACATAAAATCCCATTCACGATATGTAGCAGCTTAGGAACTAATACTTTATAAGCGTTACTGCTACCCTGGAAGAACATTAAAGAACAGCTCTTCATTATTATAGAGAAACAGAGAGAGATTTGGTTACAGTAGAGATGAAATCCAGCCTCAAATACTTACTGTTACCTTAGGCAAGTCACTTAACCTCTGCCTCAGTTTCCTCATTTGTAAAATGGGGATAATAATAGAACCTACCTCACAGCATTGTTGTGAAGATAAAAAGATATTTATTAAGTGCTTGGCACACTGCCCAGCATAGCTATAATAGGTGCTCTATAAATGTTAACTGCTATTATCATTAGCCACTAAGAAAATCAGTGGTTCAAGTTAAAGGTATATAGCTAGGAGAAAAGATACTATAATCCTAAATACTAATAGAACTAAGTCTGAGCAGATTTAATGTCTAATTTTTCTTTATTTACCTGCCTACCAATGATATCTACTTATCTGTAGGATGTTGGGCCAGGATATTGGATATAAATTATTAAAAATTAAATTTTTATAGAAAATATATAGCTTTAGAGTTTGCATTAACTGTTCTGCCAAAGCTTTCAATTTTTAATTTTTTTATGTGTAGAACTCCACTTAAAAGTCAAATAATAGAGAACTTAAAACTATCTTGGTGTCATTGCTGGAGTGTTACCTGTAAGGTAGTGCTTGAGAGTAAGCCTTTATAAAAATGCTCTTAACACATTTTTTTTTTTAATGGCAAAGGATATTTCTTCACACCCCAGTACAAACAGTGCAAGTGAGAAAGAATGGGCATAGGCTAGATAGGAGGTCCTTGTTAGCCACACATTGTGTTAATGGAATTAGTAAGTGGAGGTAATGTTTTCCATAGTGCTGACAAGTCAAAGTACACTGCTGTCAACAGTGAAAATGTTGGGATTGTTTTTTACCCCTGAAGGGCAAGAAAACCACTTGGAAAAAAAGACTGCTTTAGTGGTTAAGTCTTCAGTTTTACAGTATTTCAGAGTTGGAAGGAGCCTCAAAGGTCTTCGGTCAAACTGAAATGCTAATCCCTTCTCAGCATCCTTCCCTGCATGTCTCCACTGAGTCTCCAGCAATGGAAAATTCACTACCTCCCCGGGTCTTCATTTTACTTTTTGAGAGCTCTCAATATTAGAAAGTTTTTCTTAAATGGAGATGAAATCTGACTCTGAAAGTTGGACCTGTTCTCTCTTGGATCAAGCAAAACAAGACTAATTCCTCTTCTTCATGACAGCCCTTCAGATAATTGTCTCTTTCATGTATGTCTTATTTTATTCAGGCTAAACATCCTTAATTTTTTGAATAGGTCTTTATATGATTTATTCTTTTCTCAGTCTCATTCTCCTACATGGCTTTAAGTAATATATCCTTCCTTAAATTTCTTTCCTAGAACTGAACATGTTACTCTCCAGTGTCTGGGTCAAAATGCAGCAGTGTTGTTAATGCCTTTATTGGATCTAGAAAATTAGCATCAAATTTGAAAAATAAATCTAGATAGACTTTTCTAGAATCTTGAATGTTCACATCATCCTCCCCCCGCCATGATGACTTAAAAGGAAAGTAATAAATAATTTCTCAATTATGATCCAGCCTACTTTCATCCTGTTCAATTCTTTACTCAGTTCATTGTCTACCTGCAGTACCTTTGCAGGATTATGTGTCCTGATTAACTCAGTATGCTATCCATCCAACTCTGTGTTGTCATTGGAAATAAGCATTTTTTATATACTTGTTTTTGCCTGTGAGGATCACCAAGCTTGTGTAACCTAAACAGACGTGGATCTCATTGAGAAGCCTTTCTAGAACTCCAGGGCTTAATTAAGTGAATACAGTGCAAGTAGGAAAACCTGGAGAACCTCCCCAGCTAAATAGGGAATCCCTCTTGAATTTGTAAAAATGGTCTATTTTATGCTGCACCTCTCTTCCCAGGGTACTTCTGTTTCTTCAAATCTCAGAACATTATCTCAAAATTGTAAGTGAGCCAGAGGGCAATGGAAAAAGATCATTGGTGAGCATGTGTCCCATTGAGTGTAGAGATCTGACTTTGTATAACACCTGGCACTTACTCAAAAGCACTTAAAAATGCTTTCAGACTTGGATTCGGATCCTAGATCAGTAATGACTTAGGCCTTTAACAAGGGAGTTCACCTCCCTGGGCTCCTTGTATGTGAAATGGGCTAGATCTCCCAGTTCTTCCCATCTCTATGTGCATGACTCTCAGTAATCTCTGAATTATGCTATCTGTATAAAAAGTACTGAAAAGATGTCGCTAAAGAGATGTATGACTTAAAAAAGGAAATAGGTTGGTTATGTGATGAGAGCAGAGAGTAACAAACTGCCAGAAGTTTAAATATTTCATGGATATATTAACTTGGAGGTCTCTACCACATTGGATATACCCTCTATAAATCTTTTATAGAAAATCAATTTGTACAGCTTAAAGTATAGGCAAGTTGTGATCTACCCTGGTGGAACTAAGTGCCTACACATCAATGGGGATAAATCTACTGATCTAGGAAACGGCAGTTGTTTACTTTTTTATAATGGTTTTGTGAAAGACTTACTCTGTGTAAAGATAAATTGTTAACTTTACAAATATTTTTAAAAACAAAACTAGATGCTAGAATGCCTAGAAAACCAAACAAAACAAGAAACAGATTCTCTTCTAGAGGTTCTTGAGGAAAAATTTCATCAGCTTTTTACTTCACTCAAGTCGAGGTAAGCAAACTTATAACATTCAAGTGGTCACAATACAAATTTTTAAAATTAAGATAATGTCGAATAAAGAAAAAGAAATTGTCATTGTGATGTTCACTTTTAATTAGATGTTATCTTATGTTATAATTTAAAATGAGTACACTTGTCAAAAGTCATACCTGGACCTTGATACCAAGACTAACCTCAAACCAGGGTGAATGCATGTGTCAAGTTCTGATGTATTCTCCTTTCCTTATTCTTTTTATCCTTTTTCAAAATAAATTTGTATAGATATCTTATGCTTTTACTTTGCCCAAACTTCCCCCCATATAGTCTTCCTCCTCCCTTTATCCAGAGAACCATCTCATATAACAAATAATTTTTTTCAGAAAAAAGGGGGAGGGAGAAAAAATGAGCAAAACTGGGGAAAAAATTCTGACAATGTTATGTTCTACAGCTGTAGATGTTCTCACCCTAGTCCCCTCTCTCTGAAAAGGAATGGGGGGGAGATATTTTTATTTCTCTTTGGGGCCAAGATTATTCTTTGTAATTTTGCAACATTGTAATTTTTGTTATGTGGTGCTGGTTCTTTCCATTTACCTTATCATCGTCTTGTATGTTCTTTTCTTGGCTTTTAATTCCTTGTTTTGCATCATTTCATATGTATTTCAAGCTTCTCTGTATTCTTCATATTCACCATTTGTTATGGCATAGTAATAATCCATTATATTCATTTACCATATAATTTGTTTAGTCATTCTCCAGTTGATGGGCATCTACTTTGCTTTCCAGTTCTTTATCACAGAAAGAGCTGGTATAAATGTTTTGTGTATTTGGACCTTTGAAAAACATATCCCCTTGTTCTTGACAGCAGTCTTTAGGAATGTGTTTAAAAAGCCGAGTTCCTAATGAAACATGCAAGGCTTGTGGAGAGACAAGTATACCTTTCAGTGTATTAAGATTCTGTCAAATCAGAAAACCATATGATATGGATCCTAATACCTTACATAAAACTTTATAATTTTATCAAAATTGTTTTTCCCTTGGGCTAAAGTTTCCATTTTTAGCTATGACATGTATTTATAGTAGAAATTGAGTGCATCATTGAAAGGAGACCTTTACGTGTAAGTAATTTAAAGAAGTAATTGCATGATACAGTTGTTAGCAGCATTAAAAATGGCTTTCTTAATATAAACTTTTTAAAAATCTGACATGGTTATTGAAAATTAAAATAAATCTAAATGCCTACATAACTTTGTATCTTTACTGAAGGAAAAGAAGTCTGTATGAAGAAGTTGTAAGAAATACAGAGGACTATTTAGGTGATATCATAATGGCCAAAAAATACATTGAAGGGAAAAAAATTGATTTGGATGCAGCTATGAGAATAGCAAAAGAATTGAAAATGGCACCTTCCCTAAGAACATATTGTGACTTGAATCAGGTAATTTTGAAAATTCATGGAAAATTAAATATTTTCATGGTGATTAATTTTGCATGTTTTTTGAAGCTAGAGAAAGTGTGGGAACATGATTTCATGATTAAACACAAAAATTGATTAAGACAATCAGCAAATCAGTCAGCAAGCCAGTCAGCAAGCATTTATTAAGCACTTGAGTATAAGGCATTGATGAGCCTTGGACAGGCTTTTCTTTTCTTTTCTCCCCCCCCCCCCTGCCCCCAGCATTTTTAAAAGCTTTCTATATGCCAGGCACTGTGTGAAGCAGTTAGGGACATCAAAACAAATTAAACAATAGTGCCTATTATCAAAAAGCTTATATTCTGCTGGGGCAGACTACAGATAAATATGTATTTACACAAAATACATGCAAAATAGATTTTGATCCTAGTTTTCATCCTGGAACTTCTTGCCATTTGTAAGTCTTGTTGAGATCTCTAAGAACATAGATTACAAAACATTTAACCTTTGTTAGTGTTACTGAGCAAAAAAACAATCTTCAAGATACATTCTTGGGCATATATACAACCAGCAAACCTAGCCTATGATCTATGGATACATTATAACATTATTGGGAGCATTGACTTTTGACCAGAAGGAACAGGAAAATTGTGTGTGTGCATTCCTGATCTGTCATAATAAATGACTTGTCGTTTGTTGATTTTAGGAAAAAGGGTGGGAAGGAAGAGTTGTAGGAGTTAGAATCAGTACCTAAAGAGAGAAATATGACTTTTATCCCCTTTTAACACTAGTCCAGAGACCCTTTCATTGTCTTAATGTGCCAGGAAACATGTCTTTAGCCATGTACTTTGCACTATCATACAGCTGTGGTTTTTGAAGTGGGGAGGATGGAGACAGCCTTTTGAGGTCCCCTTGACATCTCAGTCAAAGAAATGGATAGTTAAAAGTTACTGGGGGGCATCTAGGTGGGGCAGTGGATAGAGCACCGGCCCTGGAGTCAGGAGGACCAGAGTTCAAATCCTACCTCCGACACATAACACTCATTAGCTGTGTGATTCTGCACAAGTCACTTAGCCCCAATTGCCTCACCAAAAACAAACAAACAAAAAAAAGTTACTGGAACACCCTTGTTCCCTTACCTTTTAATTTTTTTTTTATTTTTAATGTGTATAGGTCTTCTTATCAGTTAAATTGAATTTAAAAAGGGCAGCTGGTGGTTCAGAGTACTAGGCCTGGAGTTAGGAAAACCTGAGTTTAAATCTAGCCTCAGATACTTCCTAACTGTGTCACCCTGGGCAAGTCATTTAACCTCTGATTGCTTGATAAAATGGATCCACTGGAGAAGGAAATGGCAAACCGTTATATTATCTTTGCCCAAAAAAACCCCAACTAGTGTCACAAAAGGTTGGATTCGACTGAACAACAACAAAAATTGAATTAAATTCCTTTAACTCTCACAACTAGGTCATAAACTTAGGAGTATTGACTGTCTCACATTTTTTTCACCTCCTTCAGTACCTCACAGTGAATTGTATCTATTAAGCACTCGGAGAATACTGATTTAATGATTAGCTATGCTGGGTGTTCCCATCAGAAGGTAGAATAAATGTTGCCTCTAATTTTCCTTTGGAGATCTTATTTCTGTTTCACACTTTGCCCAGAAAACAGCCACACTTCTGTTTCAAGAAAGCCACCAGATTTAGTTTCGTAAATTCCTTATTGATATGTCTTTTAATTACAGATTATCCGCACTTTGAAGTTGGCATTTGAGAGTGAATTGTCAAAAGTGAGTTCTCTGAAATTCAGAAGCTCTCTCAGGTGAATAATGTTTTAGAAGAATATGTAGCTATTAGATATTTTAAAATGCATGCTAGCTGAGTTTAAATTCGATCAGAAGTGATACATTGAACTTTTGGGGTTTTCCTAAGTAACTTAGTTATAATTATAAAAATTAGGAATTATTATTTTTGTCTAAGTATTGGCTACTTATTTATTGTTTAATCTGATCAAATTGATTAAAGTCCAACACTTGTACTTTTTTTATAGGTTGAAAATGAATTGTAATGAAATTATTTGTATGTTTAAAAATATGGGGAAGATTGAATTTGAAGAAACTTCAAAGTAAGTCTTCTATTTTAGAATGGCAAAATAATTGTTCAGTCTGATATGGCCTATTTCACAGAATATGCCAAAAATTCATATGAAATGTGAGACATTGAAAGATTTACAATTTCATCATCTTTTGAGGCAGCTTAGAGATGCAGTGAATAAAGTGTAGGGCCTGGAGTCAGACTTTAAATAGGTGTGACCCTGGGCAAATCACGTAACCTCTGTTTACCTCAGCTTCTTTGATTGTAAAATGAGGATAATAGCACCTATTTCATAGGGTTTTTGATAGGATTAAATGAAATAATATTTATAAAGTGCTTAGCACAGAGCCTAGTACACAGCAACAGCTATATAAATGCTCAATTCCTTTCCCCTTTGTGATTGTCTGTCTTTACCAATAAATATCCCAACATAATGTAATAGAATACTGGAAATTATTTTAAAAATTAAAAAATGCACTAAATTTTGTTAATGCTTTGAATTTAGCAACTTCAGAGATCCTTTGTAAAATATTACGGAATGTAAAATACCACCAGAGAGAGTGAGAGTTGGAATATCTGGGTTATATAACTTCACCTGTGTGTTTGAGACCTTGGTAATCATGACTTCTAGCCCCATTATTTCAGAGATGTAAATACCAAGTCCTAGAGGATCAAGAATCTGCTAATAAATGAGAATTTCACATTACGAAGGGATAGGTAGTGTCAGCGTAGGCATGAAGATTTGAGGACAGAAAGAGGAAACAAGGTCCCCTCAAATTGCAATACCCACAGCCCATCTATAAAGTTAACCCTACATTTATAAATGAAGACTTAAAATCTACAGTCAAAATCACCAAAGATAGCCCTATATTTAACATCGGGATTCATTAGTGAATTTTAAAGGGCAATGCGGTTTTCTTAGTTTCTAATTTAATTTAAAAAAAATTTTTATACTTATAATTTAACGTTCTTTTTTTTTATTTTGAGTTGCAAATTCTCTCCCTTGCTCCAGCCCCTTCTCCACACATTGAGAAGGTAAGCAATATGCTATCAATTATACATATGAAGTCATGTAAAACCTATTGTCATATTAGTCATATTGCCAAAAAAAGGCAAGAAACAGTAAATAAAAAAGTATGCTTTAATATGCACTCAGAGTTCATCAATTCTCTTTATGGATTAGATATCATTTTTCATTGTGAGTCCTTTGGAATTGTTTTGGATCATTGGCTTGATCAGAGTAGTTAAGTCTTTCACAGTTGAGCGCTATCACACTATTGCTGTTACTGTGTGCAACGTTCTCCTGGTTCAGTTCACTTCACATTAATTCATATATGTCTTCCCAGGTTTTCTGAAACCATCCCCCCCCCCAAAATTTCTTATAGTGCAATAGTATTTCATTAGTCACATACCACAATGTTCAGCCATTTCCCAACTTATGGGCATCCCCTCAATTTCCATGTCACCACAGAAAAAGCTGCTATAGATATTTTTGTACACATAGGTCTTTTTCCTTTTTCTTTGATCTCTTTGGGATATAGACCTAGTAGTGGTATTGCTGGGTCCAAGGGTTTTATAGCTCTTGGGCACAGTTCCAAATTATTCTTCAGAATGGTTGGAGTAGTTCACAGGTCCACATTAGCAGCCTTGTTTTTCCATATCCCCTCCAACATTTGTCTTTTTCCTTTAGTTTCCTGTTAGGCAATTCAGTAGGTGTGAAGTACCTCAGAGTTGTTTTAATTTGCAATTCTCTAATTATTAGTGACTTAGAGCATTTTTTCATATGACTATTTGATAGCTTTGATTTCTTTTTCTGAAAACTGCCTATTCATAGCCTTTGACCATTTGTCATTTGGAGAATGGCCCTGATTTTTATAAATTTGGCTCAATTCTTTATATATTTAAGAAATTGGATCTTTAGCAAAAAAAAATTGTCAACTTTTTTTCCACTTTTGGCTGCATTGGTTTTGTTTGTGTAAAACCATTTTAATTTCATGTAATTTATGTTAAAAAAAAAAACCTTTTTAATTTCATAAAATTTTCCGTTCTGTTTCCTCTCTCTCTCGTTTGTTCCTAAATTCTTCCCTTTATCCATAGATCTGACATGTAAATTTTTCTTGCTCCTCTAATTTGCTTATGCTATCTCTCCTTATGTTCAAATCATGTACCTCTTTTGACCTTATTTTGGGATACAATGTGAGATGTTGGTCAATGCCCTAATTTAATTTTAATATGAGAACTACTTTAAGAAAAATCTCTGCCTCTCTTGTTTTAAAATCTAAATGAATGGGGAAAACGTAAATTCTGATCAAGTTCTGCAAAATAAACAATGTTCTGTTATGAGAAAAATAAAATCAATGGTTTCTATGAATCAATTAGAACTTCGAAATATAACTGTTTTAACATTATTCTTAAATAACACCTCCACCTTGAAATTTTTCCTGTGTGTTCCCCCAGATAGTTTTATTCAAACCTTTCTTAATTAACTATGATTAAAACTATGATTTTAAATTTTATTTAAAATCAAAGAACCTTACATTCAGAAAATAACTTAGAGTAGATATTTTGCTGAAGAAAAAACTGAAGCTTAAGAGAAATTACTAGTCCAACATCATATGGCAAATTAATAGTAAACTAGAACCCAGGTCTCTTGACTTCCAGTTCTTTTTCCAATAAACTATACCACTTACCACTAAGAACTTGACATGAAGAAATAAGCCAGGGTTTTTCCAAAGACAGAAAAATCCATCAATTCTAAGAGACAATTGTTAGTTTCCTCCTCTGTTGTTTTAGAGCTTACACAGTTCTTTGACCTCTAGACATGTTATTCTAATTCAGCAGATGTTTAATAAAAGTCTGGTTCTTGTAGAATGAGATGTTGAATGAGATAAAAATTTGACATGGCCTCTGTCTTCATAGACTGGAGAGCATTGCAAGTGCCTAAGAAAATGAGGCTGAGGGCCTACATTAATTACAGTATGAATAAGGGAGAAAGGTTGCAATTGACAGGACTTGGTGAATGATTGGATATCAAAGAGAGTAGAATTGTATAGACTCACAATAGGTAGGTGGGTGGGTGTTAGTGGTTACCAAAAAAAAATATATTATTTACATCGTACATGTATTGGGTGTAAAGAAGTATTGTGTGAAATCCTAAAACTAGGAGAAAGATCATCATCTAGGTCATGGCTTCTTAAACTTTCCACTTGGGATCCCTTTACCATTTTGGCAGCTGGCATTGCATGGCCTGAGGGCATACGCAGTGCAAAATGCTTCAGAACCAAGGCTGCAGTAAAGGTGTGCAACGTAACACGGGCCAGCACTGCCAGAACACCTCAGATTCATTGTGTTTGATTTTTATTTAATTTTTGGCATTGCACATTCAGAAACCCTTTACTGTTGCCAAATTTTTCATGACCCCATATAGGGTCACAACCCACAGTTTAAGAAGCATTAATCTAAGGCAGAGGTATCAAATTAAATTTTGGAGGGTTGCCCAAACCAGATTAAAATGTAATTGGGAAATAGTTAATAAAATACGACACAACATAGTTAATATTTGTGGTTTTCTGAATCAGTATGTGGCTCTACTTGAGTTTAACAACTTTGGTCTAGGGGGTTGGGTAAATGGGGCATTTAAGTTGTGTAAGTAGGCAGGAATTCAAAAGATTAAAAGGAAATGGAGTTATAAATCAATCTTGAACAAAAGCATGGATGCAAGAGAGCACAGGATTGTTTTAGAAAAAGTATTAGACCCTTTTAGTTAGAGTGAAAAATGTGAGGGGGAGTGATGTGAGTTTAAGGCTGAAAAGCTAGAGTAGTAGCAGAAAAGTTTGACCTTGACTCCAAGGAGTCAACTGACAGAAGTGTTTGAATTTGACTTTAAGCAATATATAATCGTGATTTTTTTAATCAGAGGGTTGTCATGACTAGATTTCTACATAAATATTTTGGCACTTATTTGAGGACTGAGTTGGAGTGGGGAGGAAGAGGAGACAAAGATCTGAAAGGAAGCCATTGCAAGAGTCAAAGCAAATGGTGCTAAGGGTCTGTGTTAGGGTGATTACAGTATGAAGGAGAGTGGATGCAGTTGACAGAACTGTGTAAAATGATTGGGTGTCAGAGCTAGCCCAGAGATTGCCAATGTGAGATCTCTGGCAGATGTTGAAATGGAGAATTCCTAAGGGGATGATAATTGCTGTAGCAAAGACATGAAGGAAACAGAAGGGAATGGGATCACGAATGACGGAGGTTGGATGTGTTAAACTTAAAATAGTGAAGCCAGAATGAAGGGCACAGGAAAATATCATGAGCTTGGTTTTTGGATGTAATTCAGTTTGATGGGACATCCAAGTAAAAGTGACTTGTGGGAAAGGGAAATGTCAGTCTATAACTTGGGAGAGAGGTCAGTACTAGAGATAAAGATTGGGATGTTACCTACGGAGACTTGAAATCATGAGAGTAAATAACATTGTTGAGGGAAAAGGGTATAGAACAGGAGTGGGGAAACCTCTTTCCTCAAGACCACATATGGACATCTAGGTCCTCAAGTTCAGCCCTTTGATTGAATCCAAACCTCACAGAACAGATATCCTTAATAAAAGGATTCTGTGAAGTTTGGATTCAGAGGGCCGCATTTGAGGACCTAGAGGGCCACATGTGGGCTCAGGACCACAGGTTCCCCACCCCTACTACAGAGAAATAAGACCCAGGATAGACCCTCAGGAAATGCTCACCTTAAGAGGTCAGGAAAATGGCGTGTTCAGGAGACAAAGCAGTATTTAGAAAGGGGGGAGAGATACCTTGGAGAGTATTGTGTCCCCAAAACTCTGGGAAAGAGAGTATTCAGTAAGATGGTGTGGTCAACTGTCAGAAGTTACAAAGGGGTAAAGGAAAAATTCTACTGAAAAGAGGTCATTTGGTTTGGCAATTTTTAAGTCATTAAGCTTTGAGAAAAGTGTGATTCAGTAGATTGGTGTGGTTAGAAGACCACTTGCTTGGGATGAAGAGAAAGTGGGTGATAAAGTTAAAAATCCATTATGAACAACTTCTAATTTTATTTTAAAATTTTTCAGTTAACAAGCATTTTTTTTCTCCCATCTCCTTTCTGTCCAATAAAAAGAGACAAAGAAAAACAGAAGTGGTAACAAATACATATAGTCAGGCAAAACAAATTCCCACATTGTTATGGATAACTCCAAGAAATAAAAAAATAAATAAATAATGACAAGTCGAGGGAATACTTTTTTTTTTCCTGAACTGGGGAAGATTTAGAAAGTTTTTAGGCAGATGTTAGAATCCTTGGCAAGGGAGAAGTTAAAGATTCCTAAAGGGAATTCCTAAAAGGCAGGTACATGGTACAATGGATAGAGTACCGAGCCTGGAGTTAGAAATACTTATCTTCTTGAGTTCAAATCTGGCCTCAAACCCTTCCTGTGTGACCCTGGGAAGTCACTTAACCCTGTTTGCCTTGGTTTCCTCATCTGTAAAATGAGCTGGAGAAGGAAATGGCAAACCACTCCAGTATCTTTGATGAGAAAACCCCAAATGGGGTCACAAAGAGTCAGACGTGATTGGGGGGAAGAAAGACTGAACAGCAGTGAAAGGGTAATAAGATAATTGCTATAGCAAGCACCTGGCGGAAGCAAATGGGAATGGGATCAAGGGTGAGATGACAGTTGTCGGTGTTAGCCTTAATTAGTAGGGACAACTCCTCTGTGACTGGGCAGGAGCGATTCTCAGTTATTGTTAGAAATGTGTTTTGAAGTAGAATATTTTCACATTTAGTTACTGACAAAATTCTTGGGAGTATTTGTGACAAATTTTTTATTCACAGGCTGGCTTCTTGTCTCTTGCCCGACTACCTGGGAGTATTCCCCTTCCTTCTGGCCACACGACAATAAAATGACCAGTTGCTATAGCTAAGAATATGTGTTTTGTATGGGTGTTTGTTTTGCTTAAACTGAATCTACATGGATTTTTTGGTAATCTCGCCTACTTCTTTCTTCAGTCTAGGTGAAGATGTGTCTGTAAAAATTTATTTTCTCTGAAGTATTCTTGATGTACTTCTTGATGGACCCTGGGGTACCTATGCTATTGTAGTGCTCTCTTAGAGCTATCTGAATATTAAATTTATCATGAAAAGGAAATGAATGCCACATCAAATGATTATGAATAAATGGCATTAAAAATTCATTAACCTGAACATCCTCTAAATGCTTTCCAAACAGATTTCGTTCTGAAGACAGTGAAAGTGCTGGACAGAATGTTCATAAGCATACTAATAAGAAGGAATCTTCAAATTGTGATGCATACCTGTCTGTAGAAAATAAAAAGTTTGAAATTGCTGCAACAGATGATGAGGAACAGCCCCTTGTGCAGCATGAAACTGGTGATTCACATTTAGAAGTAAAGAGTACCCAGCACCAAGATGAGAGAGTGTCTGTGTCCTCCCCTAAAACTGTTGCTGTTTTACCACAAATGGGATCTAGCCCTGATGTGATCATAGAAGAAATTATTGAAGAGGATCAAGAAAGTAAGTTAAGTGGAATTATGTTATCCGAATAAAAATTCATATATGTGAGGGAAGAAATAAGCCTCCAGACTGTCTAGGTATCTTTCTTACTCTACTGACTGGCTTCCTACTGACATTGCAGATCTTAAGAAGATTGATATTACCTCCTTATGATCCCATGTGTCTGTCAGTGCCCCTTTGATTTTTTTCTTCCCTGTCCCTGAGTTCTGTTCCCTCTTTGCACTTTTATAGCCAACTCTGTTTTCAGTGCAGTGATAGCTAAATGAGTTCGTCTGATTATGTTATTTATGAATGTGATTGGTTTGATAAAGCATTTGAAAAATTAGTCCACGTAATTTAGATGTACCATACAATGTGAGACTAAAATGGTACAAGTTTTTGTGTGTCTTCTGCAGTCAGTCTCATTTCTTAGTGACATCTCAAATATAAATTCTTGTAGAAATTACTTTCTTGCCTTCAAACATGCCTAGATCTCCCCTATCCTTAAAATACTTCACTAGACCCTTCTACCCCCTCTCAGGTTCTTGTCCTACATTTCTCTTCCCCTTCTCAGCCAAACTCCTTGACAAAGCTATTTAAACATCAGGCCTCCACTTTCTCATTCTTATTCTGCATGCCCCTTGACAGTTTTATTTCCAACCTCACTACTCAACTGAAACTGCTCTCTTCGAAGTTAGCAGTGATCTCTTAATTGCCAAATCTGATGGCCTTTTCTCAGTCTTCCTCTTTCTTGAACTCTCTGCTGTATTTGATGTGGTTGACTTCCTTGATATTCTTTCCTCTTTGGGTTTTTGTGACACTGCTCTTTCCTGGTTCCTCTCCTGCCTGTCTTAGCTTTCCAGTCTCTTTTGCAGGCACATTATCCATATCATGCCACCTAATTGTGGTTGAATCCCCAAGGTCTTATCCTAGGCCCCTCTTTTTTTTTTTTTCATCTGTGCTGTCTTAATAACTTCATCAGCTTCCATGGATTTAACTATTATATCTATGCAAATGATTTACAGATATCTAATCCCATTCTCTATCTAATATCCCATTCTCTTCCTTAAGCTTCAGTCCTACATCAACAATTGCCTGTTGGACATTTTAAAAGAGATGTCATGCAAATATCTGAAACAACATGATGAAAGCTAAACTCATTATCTTTTTTTCCCCAATAGATAGGGTAAGAAAAGTAGAGAAGAAAGCAAAATTGGTCATGATCACCAAAAGCTTCCCATGCCAGACCTTTCTTTAAGCAAGGCACTAAATGTAAATAAGACTGCAGATTACTGTAGATATTTAGCCTTATATTGTATCTGAGGGTCCAGGGTTCAAGTCCCTGTCTAGGCACCACTTGTTGCCCACAACTAGTGGGGCACCTCACGGGACAGCACGAAATGAAGAAACGTGGGCCAGGCAGGTCGGTGAAGACTGAGCCGTTTATTCATCTGAGGGTCACAGACTATATAGGCAAAAGTTTGGAACTTCAAAGGATCCCTTGTATGGGAAGCTATACATATCCCGGGACTGTTACTGATAACTTTCAAGGTTTAGAGCTTGAATGCTTTGAATGCTTTTAGGACATACCTCAAAGGCGCATACGACAAAAGTGTCAGGAAGAAGAGATTGCATACTCTTAAGCAAACGTTTACAAGACATAGATTAATAGTCATCAACAGGCCTGAACAATCATTCTCAGGGCTGTCCCAAAGTCTTATCTCAAAGTACAAGACTAGTTCCCCCATGTTTGCCATTTGTTATTCCTCGTACTTATCTTCTGTTGTGTCACGGTTGGATAGTGTAATCCAGGAGCATCTTAATGCATGGGAGGAAGGTGAGCCAACATCCTGAGCACGTGAGCCCCCGAGGGCAAGAACAAGCAGGAGTTAAACTTCGACCTGAATTTTTTAACCCTATCTGGACTTATCAGAGCTGGCCCTCTTACATTATATCACAATTTTTCTGTTTAACCTTTGAAGTTCTTCACAATGCAGCCACGATTTCTCTCCAACCTCATCAATTATTATTCCCCTTCTTGTATTTTATGATCCAGCCAAATTGGCCTTTTCTCTCTTCCTCACATGTGACATTCCAGTACCATTTCTTTAACTTTGCACTGGCTGTCCCCAATACCTGGAATTCCCTCCCTCTTCACCTGAGAGGATCCCTTTATTCCTTCCAGATCTAATTCAAGCACCATCTTCTACATGAAGCACTTTCTGATCACCCCAACTACTAGTACCCTTCCTTTCAAATTACCTTGTATTAACTCATTTGATTTATTCATATTTATTTTCTTTATAATCTGTATCCTTTCTCATTTGAATGTAAGCTTTTTCCAAGTTGCAATTGTGTCATTCATTGTACTTGTCCTCAGTGCCTAGCACAGTTCCTGGCATATGGAAAGTCCTTAATAAATAAATACTTGTTGGTTGGTTATTTCAAAATGACAATGAACGGAGAAACTTTAGGTGATATTCTTACTACCATTAGAATGCTTTAAGAATTTCTGGCAAGTTGAGAGAATCTATCATTCCATTACTTTCTGATGTAATGTGTCTAGCCATTTCAGGTATAACTTTTGATATTGTATGCTATTGTCATTATTAACAAGATTAATACAATTGCATTCCTTTCTTATTTTGGTGAAGCATACTTCATAGAGCATATTATGGAGGTTCCTAGACATCAAAAAAAGCCTTTGCAGAAAAAGTCGGTACCTTTTGGACTGAAAGCAGGTAAATTGCAACAATTACATATATTTGACTTTGTGAGATTTGCAGTATGTATTTTAACACCACATTTATCTAAAATTTTTTCAGAAATAAGGTGAATTATCTTGGTAGCTAAAACTAACCCATTTAAGTTCTAAACTCCATGAAGCCATTTTTTAATTAAAGTCTTATGACTTCTTTCTACTTTTAAAGTATAGGCAGCCAGATATGGTGAGACTCGCCTGCAACCCCAGCTACCAGGGAGGCTGACTGGCAGATCTCTTGAGCAGGAGTTCTGAACTGCAAAGGGCTATACTGAGCAGGTGACTGCACCTCAGTTCAGTGTCAGCCTTTGTCCGTTCCCATACCCCCTACCTCCCAGACCCCCCCCACAAAGTTATAGATGATAGATGTGTGAATAATGCTAGTTGTATACCAGTAATGAGAAGAAAAGGCTGTCTCATGCATTGAAGTGAAATTGGTTATAATCAATGTTATCAACCTCTAAAGCTCTTGAAAGTTCTAGAAATTCCCTCAAATTACCCAACCCACTCCTCTACCTTTTCCTATTCTGTTTAAACCTGCAGTTCATCAAGGGTCAGCATTAGAAAATAAGAAGTCATGTTTTGTTTGAATATTTTTCAATTTTGTTAAATTATCAGTATTGCAAAAGTATTACTTTCTCCTATTCATTTCTGGGATGACTAGGCTTGTTTAGGGGTAACTGGGACTCTAACACCACCATGTCCAACCTTGTTTTAAAAGGAAAATGTGTTTTAACTTTCAAACAGCTCATTTAGTGAACCTGGGGAACAATGCCCATTGGTAAATTGTGAACAGACCATATTTGCAGAGGGCTGAAGATTTATTATTTTAAGTGTTCCCAGTGTTGTCAAAAACCTTTTCTGTTTTGAACATCTTTTAGGAAGCTTCAGTGTTCTAGAGATTGAAACATGGATTTCTCTAGGGAAAATGTCATTGCAAATTATTCCTTGTAAGGGTCATTAATTAGAACCCAACTTATATCTTATTCATTTAGGTTGTGTGATGACTCTTTTCTGCAGGTTCTCTGGAACTAGTTTTTGTGAGCCATGTAATACATCCGTGCCACTTTTATATTCGGAAGTATTCACAAAGAAAAAATGCAACAGTATTGGAAAAGAAGTTGAATCATTTTTGCAACAAGAGTCTGTACCTCAGTCCTTCAGATATTTTGGAGCTAGGTAATTAAGAAATATATCACTCAAAAATGTTAATATTTTTGTGTCAAGGATACTTCAATATAGTAATTATTGACCCAATAGGTAGAAGAATCTCTGATTTATAATGGTTTTGCTCCTGAATAGCAGGAAGGATGTAGTAGTCTCATAAATGTTACTTTGTTATGTTTATATAAGTAAGTTAATTTAACACATCCTATATACTTGTAAACTTTTTAAATGATAGTTGACTTTGAAAAAGTATTAAATGCTCAGGGCAAATATAACATTATTCAACAAGCCCATGGTGAAGGAAATATTTTTGGAGATATGACTAAGTGAAACCTACAAAGAAAAACAATTAGTAAATTTATTGTCCTTTTGTTTATACAGCAGTTTTACTGCGGCATGCTTTTTCTATTATTCATAGGTATTTTCCAAATAAAAATGTTGACTAACTATGGCCCCTTAATTTTAAATGCACAAACTAGGATTACATATAGCAGAATTTTTAGAACAGGGACAGAACTTTATTTTGGGAGGGAAGAAAGGTTTTGTTTTTTTAAATGTTAGCATTTTTTAAAATTTCTGTTCCAGATCTCTCTCTCTCAAGCCCCTCCCCCACCCACTGAGAAGGCAAGCAATATAATACCCGTTGTACATGTGAAGTGCAAAATACATTTCCATATTAGTCATGTTGCCCAAAAAAATGCAAAAAAATAAAGTGGGGAAAAAATATGCTTCACTTTGCACTCAACTCATCAGTTCTCTCTCTGGAGATGGCAGTTTTTCTTATGAGTCCTTTGGAATTGTCATGGATTATTGGCTTGATCAGAGTAGCTAAGTTTTGATCTAAGATTTGATAGCTAACATTTGATCATTGTTATGGTATTGCTGTAACCATGTACAATGTTCTGGTTCTACTCACTTCACTTTGCATGAGTTCATATAAGTCTTCCCAGGTTTTTCCTGAAACCATCATGCTCGTCATTTCTTAGTGCACAATAGTATTCCATCACAATCATACCACAATGTATTCAGCCGTTCCCCAACTTGTGGGCATCCCGTCAATTTCTAATTCTTTGCCACCACAAAAAGATCTGCTGTAGATATTTTTGTACAAATAGGTCTTTTTCCCTTTTCTTTGATCTCTGCCATACAGACCTAGTAGAGTTATTGCTGGGTCAAAGGGTATGCATAATTTTATAGCTCTTTGGGCATAGTTCCAAATTGTTCTTCAGAATAGTTGAACTAATTCACAGCTCCATCAGCAGTGCTTTAGTGTCCTTATTTTTCCATATCTCTTCCAGAATTTGTCCTTTTCTGTCGTGCTAGCCAATCTGATAGGTGTGAAGTAATACCTCAGACTTGTTTTAATTTGCATTTCTTTAATTATTAGTGATTTAGAGCATTTTTTCGTACAACTATTGCTAACTTTGATTTCTTCTGAAAAATGTCTCTGCATATCTTTTTACCATTTATCATTTGGGGAATGACTCTTATTTTTATAAATTTAGTTCAATTTCCTATATATTTTAGAAATGAAGTATCAGAGAATCTTCCTGTACAGAATTTTCCTTTGTTTTCCTTCTAATTTTGGCTGCATTGGTTTTATTTTTGCAAAAACTTTTAATTTTACCTCCCACGACCCTCCCTATCTCTTGTTTGGTCATAAACTCTTCCCTTTTCCATAGATGTGACAGATAAACTATTACATGCTTCCTTGATTTGCTTATGATATTCCCCTTTATGTCTAAGTCATTTAGCCATTTTGACCTTATCTTAGTATTAAAATGTAGGACTGTGCCTAATTTCTGCCAGACTGCTTTCTAGTTTTCCCAGCAGTTTTTGTCAGTTAGTGAACTCTTGCCCTCATAGCTAAGATCTTTTAGGTTTGTCTAACATTTAAGTTACTGTGGTCATTTATTTTTGTGTATTGCAGACCTAATCTATTCCTCTCATTCACCATTCTATTTCTCAGCCAGTACCAGATAAGATTCTTTTGATGATTACCATTTTATAGTGTAATTTGAAATTTGGTACTGCTAGATTGCCTTACTTCATTTTTTCTTTTTTTCATTGATTCCCTTGACATTCTTGACCTTTTATTCTTCCAGGTAAATTTTGTTATTTATTTTTCTAGCTGTATAAAATAATTCTTTGGTAATCTGATTGGTTGGTATGGTATTGAATAAGTCATTTAGGTAGAACTGTCATTTTTATTATATTGGCTTGGTCTGCCCATGAGCAATTAATATTTCTCCAGTTGTTTACATCTGTCTTTATTGGTATGAAAAGTGCTTTGTAATTGTTCCTATAGTCCTTGGATTTGTCTTGGCAGGTAGACTACCAAGTATTTTATATTGTCTGCAGTTATTTTAAATGGATTTTCTCTTCCTGTCTTTTCCTGCTTGTTTTGTTAGTAGCATATAGAAATACTGATGATTTATGTGGATTCATTTTATATCCTGCAACTTTTCTGAAGTTGTTAATTGTTTCAACTAGATTTTTAGTTAATTCTCTCAGGTTCCTTAAGTACATCTTCGTATCATTTGCAAAGAGTGATAGTTTTGTTTCCTCGTTGCCTATTCTTACTTCGGCTTATTTTTTTTAATCTTACTGCAGTAGTTATCATTTCTAGTACAATATTGCAAAGTCATGGTGATAAATGGACATCTTTGCTTCATCCTTGGTATAATTAGAGAGAGAGAGAGAGAATAATAATAATCTCCATTACAGATAATGCTTGTTCTTGGTTTTAGATACTGATCGTTTTAAGAAAGCTCCATTTATTCTTGTGTTTTCTGGTATTTTTAATAGGGATGGGACTTGTATTTTGTCATAAGCTTTTCCTGCATCTATTGATAGGACTTTTGTTATTTTTGTTATTGATATATGGTTATCTATGCTTATAATTTTCTTAATATTGAATCAGCCCTTCATTCCTGGTGTAGATACCAACTGGTCATTGTATGACCATTGTGATACATTGCTGTAATCTCCTGGTTAGTATTTTATTTAAAATTTTTGCATCCATATTCATTAGGGAAATTGAGCTATAGTTTTTTTTTTCCCCCTCTGTTTTTGCTATCTGTGGTTTAAGTATCAAAACCATGTTTGTATCATAGAAGGAATTTGGTGTATGACTTCTCTGTTTTTTCCATTAGTTTATATATAGTAATGAAATTCATTGTTAAGTGTTTGGTAGAATTCACTTGTAAATCCATCTGGTCTGTGAGATCTTTTTCTCCAGGGGGCTGATTTATGGCTTGTTCAATTTTTTCTAAGAAGGTTATTAAAGTATTCTATTCTCTGTCTTGCTAATCTAATCTAGGGAATTAATAGTTTTGTAAATAGTTTTATGGCATATAATTGGGCAGAATAGCTCCATAATTGCTTTAATTTCATCTTCATTGGTGGTACATTCACCCTTTTCATTTTTAATACTAACAATTTGGTTTTTTCTTTTCTTTTTTTTTAAACTGAATTTAACCATTGGTTTATCTCTTACTGTTTTATTTTTGTTAATAAAACCAGCTCCTAGTTTTATTAATTCATCAATGTTTTGTTTTTTCAGTTTTATTAATCTTGCATTTTATTTTCAGGATTCTTATTTTGGTGTTTAATTGCAGATTTTTAATTTGTTCTTTAGGTTTTTTTAATTTGCTTTTCCAATTCATTGACCTGATTTCTTTTAGAGATATAAATTTTACCATAAGTATTGCTTTGGCTGCATGGGACAGAGCTTTAGATGTGTTCTAGGCCAAGCCCTTAATTTTACAGATGAGAAAACAAAATGAGAGAAGTTTTCTACAGGTCATATATCCAGTTTGGACTAAACTGGATCTAGAATATAGACCTTCTGGGAAAAAGTTGTGGAAGAAGGAGCAAAAGAAAGATGAGCTGAAGAAAGAAAGGAATCTTGAAGATGATTTGGAAGGAATATTTGGGTAAGATGGAAGGAGCAAGAAGAGGGTTTAACTTGGAGAAGAGGGAGAGAGAGGGGTGCCTGAGATGAGAGAAGAAAATGAAGGAAAGATAATGCTAAAAAGCCTGAGGAGAAGGGAGCTGCTCTTAAAGTTGGCAAGGTGCCAGTGAGTCGAAATTGATAACATTAGACCCCCAGAAACAGTTGACCACAGCAGTGTTCCAAGGGGAACAAATAACAAGAAAGACAAGAAGTGATGGAGAGCAAGTAGAACTTTGCAGGCACCTGCACTGAATGCAGTGTTTGCATTTCTGTCAGGACCACACAACTGTTATCTATTCTCCCTGCAGACTGGTCTTTCTTATAGGACAAATAAAGGGGCTTGACCAGTGTGTCTGTGTGTCTCTCCCTGTCCGCCCATCTCTCGCTGTCTGCCCGTCTCTCCCTGTGAGTGTGTGTCTCGCGGTCTCTGTGTGTGGGTGTGTGTGTGTCTGCGTCGCTCTGTCTCTCTGCGTCGCTCTGTCTCTCTGCGTCGCTCTGTCTCTCTGCGTCGCTCTGTCTCTCTGCGTCGCTCTGTCTCTCTGCGTCGCTCTGTCTCTCTGCGTCGCTCTGTCTGCCTGCGTCGCTCTGTCTGCCTGCGTCCCTCTGTGCCCCTCTCTCGCCCTCGCCCTCTGTGCCCCTCTCTCGC